CCCAAAAGAATTAGTCTCAAGTCTAATATGACTTAGAGATATCCTTGTTTCATGGAAAAAAAAAATACAATGACATCCTTTCTCTAATTTACTAAAGGTCACCTCTATTTTCAAAAGAAACACTCTATAGTCCAATTTTTAATACCGTGAAGAATATTTCATTAAAAATTCCAAAATACTTAATCTCAACATTTGCCATAATGTAAACATTTTAAATTTATCAATCTGAACCTACAATCTGTTTTTTTTACGCATAAGTATTCTCTTATTAGAGATAATCCTATTTAAGGCACTTCTGGCACTAAATATAGACCTTCTCTTAGCTGAGATTTGAATATTAGTTTGTTACGTTATGAAGGACTAATCTCTTCCACTAAACCCATCCCTGTTGGTTGACCTTATAATCTAATTGTGTCTTCTCGGTTGTATTTTTTTAAATCTTTGATGTTTTGAAAAGTTATATGCAATTTTTTTTTTGAAAAGTAGACTTAAACTTAAATTTTAGGTCACACTCAAAGATTTGCAAATTTTCTATCCGCGTCTTAGCGCCAAAAACTTTCTACTTAAAACAGACTTTATGATGCGAAAACGAATATTTATTTCAAGATATTATATATATTTATATATATAGCTGAAATCAAGGTATAGAGAATACATTAATTTGATCATTTTATAGCTAAAATTAAAAAAATTGCTTTATGTGTGAATTATTTGCAAACACTCTTGTTCGAAATTAAAAACATCCCCAAAACAATCGTTTAAAGATTTATATGATTGTGTGCAGTTTCTGTGTAACGCCACATGTCACGTTGTTATGGTATGAAATGATCATAAAAGGTCTAAATAATAATTCATAGGATATTTTTCTTACTTTAAAGGCTCAAAGTTATATTCGATGAAAACCCCTAATTGGATGAAAAAAAAATTGTTTAATTTATTGCTTAAGGGACTTTTATCTTTGAAGTGTTCAAACAATTTGGTTGCGGAAATTGAATATGAATGGAAAATGATATGAAAATGGATGTATTAATATTCCTTTTTTTTTTTTTGAAAAGATGGGAATACTTGGAAGTATTAGAAGACTTGATCATAAAAAAAAAAATATGTGGTTATAGATTTTTTTATCCATTTTTATTTTTTTCAATATTTTCTCATAAACAATTTATTTGTAATGATTTTCATTTTTCACAACTTATATATGTACTTCGTGACCATGTAATCTAACTAAAGACTTAATTGAATTAATTCTGCTCAAGTAAACCATGTAATCAAATAAATCATGATGACAGGTTCATTTTGAAAATTTCATTTGCTTTGTTATTTCAACGTACAATGTAATTCGAATTTTAGAGCTTTGATTTTGTAGTGTGTTTGGAGTAAAGATAATGAATGAATGCAAACTTTCTACAGTAATTTTTCATGCAAACCTACATTATACTCCTTCGATCCTTAATATAAGACCCATTTAACTAATTTAATTAGATTAAAGAAGTTAAGTAAGCTAGTTAATTATAAAAAATATAACATATTTTTTTAAAACATTGTAATCATCTTTCTTAATATTCTTCCTTGATTATGGTTGAGGGAGTATCCATAGGGATAAATATGAGAAAGAAGTCTTATATTTATGATCAAAATCAACTCAATAATTAAGTCCTATATTAAGGACTAGCGGAGTATAATGTATTCAAATTAAACACAGTTCAAGAAAACATAAATGATAAAATCTAGATGCCAGTCAAATATTTTGCATATAGGATCAATTTTTCTTTGAACCTATTAAAGCCTGAATTTATATTAAATTTTAGCTAAGGCTTTTAGTTTTGTTATGAATGTACGTGTCGTGTATTTGGAAGGCATGTGAATAGGAAGGAAAGGAGTAATCAGCAAGCAATAAATAAGCTAAATTGAATTACGGCAAAAAAAAAAAAAAGGAAGCTAAAAAGAATAAAAAGGAAAAGTTGGAGTCCGAACGGAATTATTATGATTTTTTTGGGTTATATTAAATTTTATGAGAAAAGGTTTATTATTTTCCGGTCATACTAAAATTTTGTCGGATTTTTTATCCAAGAAAATCAAACCTCAGAGCAAAATATTTATTCAGATTTTGATTATCTGAATTAATTTATTCACTTCTGGACTAAAACAAAAATAAATAAAATTAATTCACTTTGAGTTCATTACGTGAGTGCGTGTTTGTATACTCCTTATACTCCTTTTATAATTAATAATAATATAAAATGCAAAATTTGTCATAAGTTATTTTATTTATAAGTCATAAAATAGTGATGATGATTCTTTAATCTCCATGTGGAGCCCATGTAGGATTTGTTTTGTTTTCAAACATTTTAAAAATAAAATAAAATCATTGAGCTATTAGCCTTCAATATTTTTGCGCATAATTTTCTCCAGTTTTTCCCTAACGCCCGCTAACTTTAAAAGGATCTAAATATGTCATATATTATATCTGTGGTATTTTTTTTATTCATGACACGATTTTGTATTGAAAAGACGGGAAGACTTAAAAATATTAGTAGACTTGATAATAAGAAATATCATGTGGTTATCAATTTTTTAAGGCATTTAAATTTTTGTTTACTTTAGATTTTCCAATATACGCGTGTGTCTATAAACATTCACACACACACACATAAAATGTAAAGACTTCATTGAGGCCATCATACTCGAACTCACTTACCACAATGGCGAGCTTCGCTTCACAAATATCTTTTCTTTTCTTGTTTCTGTTATTTGCAACACAATTCAACAGGGTGATCAGTTGCAATAAAAATGATGAAAGGCTGCTTTTAATCTTCAAACAAGGAGTGGTTGGTCCAAACAACAAACTCCCTTGGACTTGAGCTGGAATGAATTCAAAACTGTGAGTATGCCACCATGCCAAATCTCCAAACCTCCCTTTGATGCTCACAAATCTCACAACCAATCACTTGTTACTCCTTCCAATCACTCAGCAAGTTTCTCTGTTGCTCTGCTTTATCTTGACTTTTCATATAATTTTGATTTAGTCATAAATGACCTTCATTGGCTTTCCCAACTTTCTTCTTTAAAATATCTTAACCTTAGTCACAGTGACATTGGAAATGATACCAAATGGCTCCAGCATATAGCCATGCTTCCTTCACTCTCTAAGTTACACTTGAATCTATGTGGATTAAGAGATTTTCCTTCCCTCGATTATGCCAATTTTACATCACTTGAAGTTTTTGATCTTTCTTTCAACTCTGACATGATGAAGTCAAAATTACCTGATTCACTCTTTAATATCACCAATCACATCTATTATCTTGACCTTCATGGATGCAATTTCTATGGAGAATTGCCAAAATGTTTGCTCAATCTTCAAAATGTCAAGTATTTAGATTTAGGGTCTAATAATTTCGAAGGATCAATTCCAGATTGGTTAGGCCAATTTGAACAGTTGCAATACTTGGACATCTCTCACAATTTGTTCCATGGCATAAATCCATCGTCTCTTGGAAATATTTCTTCCTTGCTCTACTTAATCTTGTCCTACAATCAATTGAACGGCAATATTCCAGTAACCTTGGGACAACTCCATAACTTAATTGATTTATACATTGGGCACAATTTCTTGGCTGGTGTTCTTACAGAAAATTTTTTTGCCGGTCTCTCAAGTTTAAAATCAATGGACTTAAGTTCAAATAGTTTCACATCTGACTTTGATCCTAAATGGGTACCATCATTTCAACTTGAGATATTGGATATGGGCAACACAAGCATAGGTCCTACTGTTCCACCATGGCTATATACACAACAGTCTTTAAGGGCACTAGATATTTCTAAATCAGGGATTTCAACAATTGATAAGGATATATTTTGGAACTTTGTAGCAGGAATAAGAGATGTTGATATCTCACATAACTTAAATTAGTGATGACATATCCGGTGTCATACTATCAGTAAATGTCTCTTATTTTTTTGCATCTCACAACTCCTTATCGGGATCTATTTTCTCATTATTGCGCCAATTAGAGGGTAACGGAGAAAGCAAGTTGTTTGAATTGGACTTATCAAATAATCATTTGAGTGGAGCACTTCCCGATTGTTGGACCAATCAAAAATCATTGGAATTCCTTAGTTTGGGGAGTAACAAGCTAATAGGTAAAGTTCCTCCCTCATTTACTTCATTGAGACTTCAATCGTTGGATTTGAGTGATAATAGTTTCTCTGGCGAATTTTCATCAGGCATGCTTAATTGGACAAATTTGCAATTCCTCATTTTAGAGAAAAATAATTTTTCTGGAAGTTTGCCAAATCCGTATATGGCACGATCTTTGGAAGTTCTTAAATTAAGGACCAACCAATTTATGGGTAATATTCCACCAGGAATATGCATGCTCTCTTCTTTGCGGATACTAGAGCTTGCTAATAATAAGCTTTTTGGATCTATACCTTCTTGCTTATGCAACATCACAAATCCAAATAACACCAGCTCATATTTCGATCTTCGTGAAATGATGCGCATATTTACTAAGGGAAGGGAGTTAGACTACCAACCTTCAGCATATTTTAGTAGGGGTGTTATTGATCTTTCTGCTAATAGCTTATCTGGAGAAATTCCTGAAGAATTATTCAGTATTACTCTACTGTGGTCCTTAAACCTGTCTCGAAACCATTTGATTGGAAAGATTTCTAAAGAAATTGGAGCCCTGGATCTTAGCTACAACAGACTTTCTGGAGAAATTCCTTCTACCATATCTAATTTGTCTTTTCTTGCTTGTTTGAACCTCTCATACAACAATCTCATCGGACAAATTCCACTGGGAACCCAAATTCAAAGTTTTGATTCCTGGAGTTTTGTTGGCAATCATGAACTTTGTGGAGATCCTCTTCCAAAGAAGTGCAACAAAAAAGAAGAAACTCATGACAACTCAAAGCCAGCTGAAAGAGATGAAGACGACGGCTTTCTGAAGTCATTGTATCTTGGCATGGGGGTTGGATTTGCGGCGGGGTTCTGGGGAATTTGTGGTTCTCTCTTCCTCATCAGAGCATGGAGACACAGATTTTTCCGATGGTTTGATCACTTGAAAGATCAACTTTATGTTGCCTTCACCCTCTGGTTCAAAAGATTCGGTCGAATATCAAAAACAGATCTCCCTTGAGGTAAAAAATTAGCTACGCCTTAACTTTTCAAATATTGTTAGTATTTTCCTTTTTCCTTTTAATTTCTTCTATTTCCTAAACAAATTCTATTCTTAGCTGATTATGTTTTATCTTGTTTGTTTTTCAATATGGGATGCAAGTGAAATAGCAGCTATGCCTACTCTGATCGTTCCTCTGATTCAAATACTGAGTTCTGCCTCAAGGAATAAGGAGCTTTGCTGCTGTTTGGCATGGTCAAGGACTCCGATAGCGTAGCCTACTGAATGCCCTTTTGTTATCTTAGATTTAGTGAATTGTGAGAAGAGAACATTTTGTAATAATAGTTACTTGTGTGTCTGGGTGTCTCATGTTGTTAAGGAACCTTTGATGAATATTCTTGAATGTGATATATGATTGTTACTCTAAAGTTCGATCATGAGTTATGATTTAGAATCAAATAAAAAGATATTATGCGTCTGTAATTGAGGTTTCAGGTGTAAGTGTAACAATCAAAACGAAAAGGCATGTGAGTGTTGTAATCTGTAAGATAAGATTTATATGTATGTTAACATGTTGGATATTAATTTGTAACTTGCTACAGTGAGTTGCTATTAATTTGTTGAAGATGAGAGGATCTTATAACATTCTGTTTCGAAGCTTGAGATGCTCTGTTCCATTTTGGTTTGTACGATTAACTTCAAATGACAAAGTCATGCCTTGTTCAGGCTAGATATTCAAATAACCTCTCAGTTACTCCTTCTATCCATTTTATAATGTAATTCTTGTTTTGAGAATCGGAGAAGTGTTAAATATAATTAACATTAAATAAAAAAGTCAGCTCAGATAATCAGGTTGAGCAATAATCAGGTGCAGAGCAACACGAGCATGTTTCAAATGCCTACTTGAAATCTGCACATTTCGAGTCTTCCCTCCCATATTTTCTACGAAGTCATATTAACTACTGTTCTAAGGTGTTGAAATTAATTATAAATATTTCATTATTTTAATTAAGGATTAGTGAGTAGGGTGTTATGATACGGTCAGGGCCCAATACTATTAGTGATACAAATTAAAGTCGGTTTTCTTTCCTTTTCGCTACGCATATGTATTCTCTTATTAGATGTAATTTTATTCGAGATATTATCGAGCATTAAATGTGAACATTTCTTTCGATGAGGGTCCAAACTTTAATTCACCATGTTATGAAAGACTAACTGCTTCTACTAAACTCCACTCTTTTTAGTAACGTTAGATCAATTTTGTGTTAATGCATATGCTGATTTGCCTTTTGTGAATAAAATTGTCCCTCTTTCTTCACCCAATAAACAATCCACCATGACGTCCGATTATTAGTTGAAAAGACGACTTCAATATTTAGACAATTATATATATAAAGAGGAGATGATATTTAGATGGGAAATTTTGATTTTAAATTGTATAACTGAATGGATAGAATAAAAATTAATAAAAACAATTGTTCCTAATGTTGCTAATGTTCTCAGAATAAATCTTGTCAAGCTGAAAAGGAGGGACCCGAAGAGGATTTTACATCAAATCGAAAACTTGAACTATATAGCATGTGAGGTATTTTTTTCCCCCCTTATTACAAGTCGGTCCTCCTCTATGTTCAGAAAAAGAAAATTACAATATGAAAGAAAAGCATGAAAATATAAATCTTAGTATGATTAAATCTATGACTCTGTTGAGTAGGATAATTAATATATCTAATCTTTAATATAAGAGCTACTTGACTAATTTGATTTAATTAAAAAAGTGAAATAAATTAGTTAATTATAACAAACATTCTGTAAAACATTAAATTGTAAGTTACAGAAATTAATTGGAAGAAAAATGATACATATAAGATATAAAGTATATTAAGATCTTATACTTATAATCAAATTCAATCTCCAAACTAGTTTTTATATTAATGTAAAAATTCTCTTTAATCTAAAAATTAATGTAAGATTAACAGTCAACATTAATGTGGTCAGACAAGGGGCGATACTGCAATGATTTTGACTCTTCAATGGGCAATATTGCTGTGCTAATAGTTCATGCTAATAATTAATGTTACCCGTGAAATAGTCCAAAGGCAAATGTCCTTTAATTCTTAAAATAATTAGAGAGGACGTGATTTGTTTTTTTTTTGTCCCGGGGGGGTTTAGAATTAAATTACACGCTGAGGGGAAAAATTCATGTTATTGGGATAGTATAGTTGATGACTTCCATAACTTTCTTAATTAATTATTAATGTTAATGAATAAAACATCACATTGTTTGGTCATTGCGTGTTTCCCCCACTCACTATGGTGAGGTTAATCAACTTCTAAGACCTTCCTGACAATTTTTAACATTAACTTTAGTTTAGTTTTCGGATTACATTTCTCAAGAGACAGAAGCTGCCATTAAAAAAATTAGAAGACGATGAAAAAGAAAAATCAACAATATATGGGCACAACAAAAAGTGGAAGTCATCATATACCATCCCTCTGAGATGATGAATTAATGTTTTTCCACCAGTGTGTAATTTACTTTCCTTCTCTTGTATTCCCTTATCTTCTTATTGTTTTTTTAAATGGATCGTTGAAAAGCAATGGCAACTCTGGTCTCTTGAGAAATTCATTAATTCAAAAGCTAATTATTTGCAACATTCTCGTTTGAAATTAAAAACATCCCACAAATAATTGTTTCAAGATTTATATGATTGTGTGCAGTTTATCTGTAACGCCACAAGTCATTAGTATTGTTATAATACGAACTCAACATAAAAAAGTCTAAATGATAATTTAAAGGATATTTTTCTTATTTCAAAAGCTAAAAGTTGTATTTCTAGAAAACCTCTAATTGAATTGGGAAAAAAAAATCCTTTAATTTGTTGCTTAAGGGAGTTTTATCTTTTTGAAGCGTTTCAAATGATTTGGCTGTGGAAATTGAATAAGAATGGAAAATGATATGAAAATAAATCTATTAATATTCCAATTTTTCCTCGAAAAGATGGGAAGACTTAGACCATAAAAAAATGGTTATAGATTTTTAGTCATTTAAATGTTTGTGTGCTTTTTCCAATATTTTCTAACGTTTACTAGGAGAGTCAAAAGTTAAGAGATTGCGTTACACCAAATCTTAATTAAATAATTGAATTATAAGTGAGTTAAAACATTTGAAAAACTAAAAGATTAATTTTCCCTATGTTTATTTATATCCACTCACGTGTATTTGGAAGGCATGTGAATAGGAAGTAAAGGAGAAATAACTAGCAATAAATAAGCTAAAAAAAAGAAGAAAAAGTACAATAATTACATCAATTTACTTATATTCATTATGTCAAGTGCCTAAATCATATATAGTCATAATGGGCCCTGAAAAGGCCCATTTTTTGTTCTCCTGCTATTAAAATAAAAAGTCACATAACCCCAAAAGAGAAAATCACGTAACAAAGTAGAATTTTGAGTTGCGTTTGTGCAGAATCCCAAATATTGAGTAACTTGATTTAGTGCCTCTTTCCAAAAGTGTGAATGATTTTTTTCTGTTAAAAAATAAAAATCTCCAAGACAAGTTTCGCCAATGGGTACAAGAGGCATTTGGTGATGTGCGTGTTAGAAAAATCATCATAAAATAATTAAAATGTGTCGTTCTACATAAAATATTTCCCAAAGTTTCTCCAATGAACTATGACGAATTGGCTATGCACTTAGATAATCTATTGTTTCAATTACTACCATAATACATTACATTACTGAGTACTCCCCTTCCTTGCAAAGTAGTTGCAGGCCACAGATGAGTAAAATGACTTGGTTTATCATCACTTATTATCATTGACCACCTGTTTTAACCGGTAAAGGGGTTTGTATTAGTTTAACTAGAGGTCACTTACCGTTGAGGATCTCTTTTATCAAAGGAAATTGGAAGAGATGATAAGAATGGAAGCTTTATGGTGGGTTCCATTAATGAGCAAAAAGATTAAAATTGAGTATAATTTGGGATAGAGACTTTACAAGCGTCATGGATGGGGCAATATCTTCAATATGTTACATCTTTTTCTCGCATGATTCAAATTAGCATTGGTCCCAATAAATTCTATAGTTGAAAGTTGTGAAGCTTCTTGGAAAAGAACTAAAGACTTTATGAGCGTCATGAATGGGGTATAGTTTGGAAGATAAGAATGGAAGCTCCTTGGTGGGTTTCAATATGAATGAGCGGAGACTGAACTTGAGTGCAGTTTGGGACGAATACTTTACAAGCGTTCTGGATGGGGCAATGTCTCGGTCAATATGTCAAATTTGGCTTGATCTCAATTAGTCTAGATTCTAGTAACATTTGACATTAAAGTCGTGAAGTTTCTTGGAAAAGAACTAAAAGACTAGGAACATCATTGTATTATGTGTGAATTATTTGCAAACATTCTCGTTTGAAATTAAAAACATCCCACAAATAATCGTTTCAAGATTTATATGATTGTATGCAGTTTCTCTGTAACGCCACAAGTCATTGATGTTGTTATAATATGAACTAAACATAAAAAGTCTAAATGATAATTTAAAAGATATTTTTCTTATTTCAAAAGCTAAAAGTTGTATTTCTAGAAAACCTCTAATTGAATGGGAAAAAAAATCCTTTACTTTGTTGCTTAAACAACTTTCATCTTTTTGAAGTGTTTCAAACGATTTGGCTGTGGAAATTGAATAAGAATGGAAAATGATATGAAAATGAGTGTATTAATATTCTAGTTTTTTCTCGAAAAAATGAGAAGACTTAGAAGTAGTAGAAGACTTGACCATAAAAAAAATAGTTATAGATTTTTTTAGCCATTTCGATGTTTGTATGCTTTTTCCAATATTTTCTAATAACCACTTTATTTGTAATGATTTTCATTTTTCACAACTTATGTACATCGCGACCATGTAATCTAAATAAATCATGATGACGATTCCATTTTGAAAATTTCATTTGTTTTGTTATTTTAACATATAATCTAATTTGAATTTGAGAGGTATATAATTTTGTTGTGTATTTGGACTAGAGATAATGAATGAATGCTTTCTACAACATTTTTTTTTGGGACAACCTACATTATGTGTATGTATATAATTTATTTGAAATAGAGTTGAAGAAAACATAAATGATTAAATTTATATGTCAGTTAAATATTTTGTATATAAGATCAATTTTCCTTTGGACCTGTAAAAGCATGAATGTACAGTAAATTTTAAAGGTAAGGTATTTAATTTTATTTATATATATCCACTCACGTGTATTTGGAAGGCATATGAATAGGAAAGAAAAGGAAAAATAACTAGTAATAAATGAGCTAAAAAAAAAAAAAGAGTACAATACTTACATCAAATTACTTATATTCATTATGTTAAGTGTCCAAATCATATATAGCCATATGTCTTATTTTTAAAATATTAGCATTTAATAATATTTAATTATAAATTTACAGGACACAAAAATAGACACATGTCCATGTATAATTTAAGAACTTTATATAATGGATATAAGCAACTTGACCTAGTTCTTCACAAATAGCACAAAATATGGAGTTCAAACAGCCATATGTAATTAATTTTATGGATTTCACATGGAATTTTTGTGATTTTTTTTGGCTTATATTAAATTTGATTAAAAAAATGATATATAGGGT